TTTTTGTTGAAATCAAACAAAGTTTAATTTTGGACCCCGATTTGGACCAACTTGAAAACTGGGCCCATAATCAAAAATCTAGACACAGATGATGCCCCCGCTTGCATATAACGTTATAAAGGGCCATAAATCACGAACTGTAAAAGTGACACTACCCAAAGGACAAGGTACGATAAGGGCCCGTTTTTGGTCCCCCTATTTTCTCATTTTTCAAAATTTGTTTTGGAAAGCTACTTATCACGTTAAAATATTCCCTTAGGTTTGAAGTTTGTTTGAATGAACTTCAAAAGCATTAATTTCAGAAAATGGGTGAGGTGAGGGGTGTAAAAGGGCATCAAAAACGCCAAAAGAAGGAAAAATTACGATATTTGGCCATTGTTTCTTAAAATTTAATAGTGTGCGCCTACGTGACCCTGAGAAAATTATGGCGATTTAGACAGCAAAAACAGTTCTCATGACATTGGAATAAAAAAATTCCTGGGTCACGTTGGCGCAGGCACTTAAAAACTAATAAAATGCTTCGCTGAGCGCAGGCTGATACGACCGTTGAGGTCGAACCCTGAACAGTTGGGGCAAGTTTGGACACAACATTCAAGCTTGATACAGCATTGCATTTGGATTGTGATTAAATATTTGACACAGCATAGGTTTCTGACACAGAATGAATGTGGTCTAAGAACTTAAAAATTTTAAATTGGACATTCACCTATTATGGTCCAATATCCAAAATCTAAATACATGGTTAGATTCAGCATATCAAAGAACCCTAAGAATTCAATTTTTGTTAAAATCAAACTAAGTTTAATTTTGGACCCTTTGGACCTTAATGTAGACCAATTTGAAAACGGAACCAAACATTAAGAATCTAAATTCACGGTTAGATTCGGCATATCAAAGAACCCCAATAATTCAATTTTTGATGAAATCAAACAAAGTTTAATTTTGGACCCTTTTGACCTCAATGTGGACCAATTTAAAAACGGGGCCCAAAATCCAAAAACTAAATACACGGTTGGATTCAGCATATTAAAGAACCCCAAGAATTCAAGAATAAAACCCCATTGAAATTGGTCAAGAAATAAGCAATCTATACGAAGTATCTTCTTTTGCACAATACTGTGCAATTAAATATTTCTTGCTATTGCGCAATACTGTACAATTGACAATTTCTTGCTATTGCGCAATATTGTGCTATTGGATATTTCTTGCTATTGCGCAATACTGTGCAATTGAAGATTTCTTGCTATTGCACAATACTGTGCAATTGAAGATTTCTTGCTATTGTGCAATACTGTGCAATTGAAAATTTCTTGCTATTGCACAATACTTATTATATAATAATTTACACATCCTGTTTGGTGTGTATCTCCTACCATATCATTATTATTTGCTTTTAAATATAAATCAGAAATAACCAACTTAAAATGGACACAGCATTCAAGCTTGATACAGGTCTGAATTTGGATTGTGATTAAATATTGACACAGCATGAATGTGGTCTAAGAACTTTAAAATTTATAATTTACCTATTATGGTCCAATATCCAAAATCTAAATAAATGGTTAGATTCAGCATATCAAAGAATCCAAAGAATTCAATTTTTGATGAAATCAAACAAAGTTTAATTTTGGACCCTTTTGACCTCAATGTGGACCAATTTGATAACGGGGCCCAAAAATCAAAATACATGGTTAGATTCAGCATATCAAAGAACCCCATATATTCAATTTTTGTTGAAATCAAACAAAGTTAAGTTTTGGACCCCAACTTGGACCAACTTGAAAACTGGGCCCATAATAAAAAATCTAAACACATGTTTAGATTCAGCATATCAAAAAACCCCAAGAATTCAATTTTTGTTAAAATCAAACTAAGTTTAATTTTGGACCCTTTGGATCTGAATGTAGACCAATTTGAAAACTGGACCCAAAATTAAAAATCTAAATACACGGTTACATTTGGCATATCAAAGAACCCCAATAATTCAATTTTTGATGAAATAAAACAAAGTTTAATTTTGGACCCTTTTGACCTCAATATGAACCAATTTGATAGCGGGGCCCACAAATAAAAAATCTAAATACATGGTTAGATTCAGCATATCAAAGAACCCCATATATTCAATTTTTGTTGAAATCAAACAAAGTTTAATTTTGGACCCCAATTTGGACCAACTTGAAAACTGGGCCCGAAATCAAAAATCTAAATACATATTTAGATTCAGCATATCAACGAACCCCATATCTTCAATTTTTGATAAAATCAAACTAAGTTTTATTTTGGACCCTTTAAACCTTAATGTAGACCAATATGAAAACTGGACCCAAAATTAAGAATCTAAATACACAGTCAGATTTGGCATAACAAATAAATAAATGTGGTCAAAGATTTTACAAATCTAAAGCGCCATACTGTGCAATTAAAGATTACTTCTTGAAATTTTTCAATATTTGAAATTTGAAAAAAAAATAATATTTGAAGAATAATTCTTTTTAATTTTTGAAATCTGAAATGAGAATTACCCTCCCCCCTTATCCCCCAAAAATTCTTTCCCTCAAGATATGGTCATAATCTCAATTCAAATTTCCAATGGAATTTGCAACCATAATTACCCATTTAAATTTACCATAGTGCTAACTTAATTTGTTTTATAACAGAATTTAAAATATGGTGTCAAATCTTTCATATGGATTTTTTTGTAAAAAAAAAAAGATGCATCATTTGCAGATATTTTTACTGGTCTTCCTTTATAAATATGCATTTCTTTAAACATAATTTAAAAGCAGTGTAAGGGAAGTAATCAAAACGTCGTATGTGGATTACCTCCCTTACACTGTTTTAAATTGTCTAAATTGTTCATAAACCATTACTTTATACATAATTTAAAAGCAGTGTAAGGGAGGTAATTTAAATGATGTATTTGATTTATCTCCCTTACACTGCTTTAAATTATGTTTTGAACTAAAGTATTTGTCCATATAAAAATGCTTGTTTTTTGCCCCTTTTTTGGCCCCTAATTCCTAATATTTTGAGGCAATTACCCCCAAAATCAATCCCAGCATTCCCTTTGTGATATGGAACCTTGTGGTACAATGTCAGAGAGATCCATACACTAACACACAAGTTATGTCTGGAAGTTACAAAAATGCTTATTTTTGGCCCCTTTTTGGCCCCTAATTCCTTAACTGTTAGTACCATAACCCCCAAAATCAATCCCCACCTTCCTTTTGTGGTATTGAACCTTATGGTAAAATTTCATAGAGATCCATTCACTTAAACTAAAGTTAGAGTGCGAAAACCAATGTGTCTTCGGACGTCATAGACGACGCCAACATCATACCAATATACAATCGAAAAGATTTTTTGTGGTCGTATAAAAAGGGGTCAAACAGTATTGACAGAAAGGGCTGAAACAGGGGTCAAAGGGCTTTCAGTGCATCAAAATGGCCAAAAATGCACATTATCACAGAATCATGATTTATATCAGTTAAAATTACAATAAACAAATATTATTTATCATTTGAAGTGACTTTCTGCCAATAAAGTTGGTCCATTCTTTATTTTCAAGATTTTGGGTATCAGCCTCTTAGGCCACAGACCACAATTAATTCCTCTATTAGTTCTTTATAACATTTTGTCTAATTAAAATAAATTGCTCCGCAGGGCGCAGCTTGATACGACCGCAGAGGTCGAACCCTGAACAGTTGGGGCAAGTATGGACACAACATTCAAGCTTGATACAGCTCTGAATTTGGATTGTTATTAAATATTTGACACAGCATAGGTTTCTGACACAGAAAGAATGTGGTCTAAGAACTTGAATTTTTTTAATTTACCTATTATGGTCCAATGTCCAAAATCAAAATACATGGTTAGATTCAGCATATCAAAGAACCCCATATTTTCAATTTTTGTTGAAATCAAACAAAGTTTAATTTTGGACCCCAACTTGGACAAACTTGAAAACTGGGCCCATAATCAAAAATCTAAACACATGTTTAGATTCAGCATATCAAAGAACCCCAATAATTCAATTTTTGCTAAAATCAAACTAAGTTTAATTTTGGACCCTTTGGACCTTAATGTAGACCAATTTAAAAAACGGGACCCAAATTAAAAATCTAAAAACACGGTAAGATTTGGCATATCAAAGAACCCCAATAATTCAATTTTTGATGAAATCAAACAAAGTTTAATTTTAGACCCTTTTGACCTCAATATGAACCAATTTGATAGCGGGGCCCACAAATAAAAAATCTAAATACATGGTTAGATTCAGCATATCAAAGAATCTCATATATTCAATTTTTGTTGAAATCACACAAAGTTTAGTTTTGGACCCCAATTTGGACCAACTTGAAAACTGGGCCCATAATCAAAAATCTAAATACATGTTTAGATTCAGCATATCAAAGAACCCCATATATTCAATTTTTGTTGAAATCAAACAAAGTTTAAATACTGGACCCTATCTTGGACCAACTTGAAAACTGGGCCCATAATCAAAAATCTAAACACATGTATAGATTTAGCATATCAAAGAACCCCAAGAATTCAATTTTTGTTAAAATCAAACTAAGTTTAATTTTGGACCCTTTGGACCTCAATGAAGACCAATTTTAAAAAATGGGACCCAAATTAGAAATCTAAAAAAACGGTTAAATTTGGAATATCAAAGAACCCCAATAATTCAATTTTTGATGAAATCAAACAAAGTTTAATTTTAGACCCTTTTGACCTCAATATGATCCAATTTGATAGCGGGGCCCACAAATAAAAAATCTAAATACATGGTTAGATTCAGCATATCAAAGAACCTCATATATTCAATTTTTGTTGAAATCAAACAAAGTTTAATTTTGGACCCCAATTTGGACCAACTTGAAAACTGGGCCCATAATCAAAAATCTAAATACATGTTTAGATTCAGCATATCAAAGAACCCCAATAATTCAATTTTTGTTAAAATCAAACTAAGTTTAATTTTGGACCCTTTGGACCTTAATGTAGACCAATTTAAAAAACAGGACCCAAAATTAAAAATCTAAATACACGGTTAGATTTGGAATATCAAAGAACCCCAATAATTCAATTTTAGATGAAATCAAACAAAGTTTAATTTTGGACCCTTTTGACCTCAATATGAACCAATTTGATAACGGGGTCCACAAATAAAAAATCTAAATACATGGTTAGATTCAGCATATCAAAGAACCCCATATATTCAATTTTTGTTGAAATCAAACAAAGTTTAATTTTGGACCCCAATTTGGACCAACTTGAAAACTGGGCCAAAAATCAAAAATCTAAATACATGTTTAGATTCAGCATATCAAAGAACCTCATATATTCAATTTTTGCTAAAATCAAACAAAGTTTAATTTTGGACCCTTTGGACCTTAATGTAGACCAATTTGAAAACTGGACCCAAAATTAAAAATCTAAATACACTGTTAGATTCGGCATAACAAATAAATAAATGTGATCAAAGATTTTACAAATCTAATGCGCCATACTGTGCAATTAAAGATTACTTCTTGAAATTTTTCAATATTTGAAATTTGAAAAAAAAATAATATTTGAAGAATAATTCTTTTTAATTTCTGAAATCTGAAATGAGAAAAAATTGACCCCCCACAATTTCTTTTTATCCCCCCCCCCCCCTTTTTTTCCCAAAAAAATTCTTTCCCTCAAGATATGGTCATAATCTCAATTCAAATTTCCAATGGAGTTGGCAACCATAATTACCCATTTAAATTTACCATAGTGCTAACTTAATCTATTTTATAATAGAATTAAAAATATAGTGTCAAATCTTTCATATGGATTTTTTTGTAAAAAAAAAAGATGCAACATTTGCAGATATTTTTACTGGTCTTCCTTTATAAATATGTATTTCTTTAAACATAATTTAAAAGCAGTGTAAGGGAAGTAACCAAAACGTTGTATTTGGATTACCTCCCTTACACTGTTTTAAATTATCTTTATTGTTCATTAACCATTACTTTATACATAATTTAAAAGCAGTGTAAGGGAGATAATTTCAATGATGTATTTGATTTATCTCCCTTACACTGCTTTAAATTATGTTTTGTACTAAAGTATTTGTCCATTAACCAGGACAACCTTGTTTTTCCCCCTTTTTTGCCCCTAATTCCTAAACGGTTTGAGCCATAACCCCCCAAAGCAAATCCTAACCATCCCTTTGTGGTATGGAAACTTGTAGTATAATTTCAGAGAGATCCATACACCGTTCCAAAGTTATTGTCTGGAAACTAGAAAATGCTTATTTTAGGCCCCTTTTTGGCCCCTAATTCCTTAACTGTTGGTACCATAACCCCCAAAATCAATCCCAACCTTCCTTTTGTGGTATTTAACCTTATGGTCAAATTTCAAAAAGATCCATTCACTAAAGTTAGAGTGCGAAAACCAATGTGTCTTCGGACGACGACGACGCCAACGTCATACCAATATACGACCACAAAATTTTTTTGCGTTCGTATAAAAATCTAAATATATGTTTAGATTCAGCATATCAAAGAACCCTAAGAATTCAATTTTTGTTAAAATCAAACTAAATTTAATTTTGGACCCTTTGGACCTTAATGTAGACCAATTTGAAAACGGAACCAAAAATTAAGAATCTAAATACACGGTTAGATTCGGCATATCAAAGAACCCCAATAATTCAATTTTTGATGAAATTAAACAAAGTTTAATTTTGGACCCTTTGGACCTCAATGTGAACCAATTTAAAAACGGGGCCCAAAATCCAAAAGCTAAATACACGGTTAGATTCAGCATATTAAAGAACCCCAAGAATTCAAGAATAAAACCCAATTGAAATTGGTCAAGAAATAAGCAATTTATACCAAGTATCTTCTTTTGCACAATACTGTGCAATTAAATATTTCTTGCAATTGCGCAATACTGTGCAATTGAAGATTTCTTGCTATTGCGCAATACTGTGCAATTGAAGATTTCTTGCTATTGTGCAATACTGTGCAATTGAAAATTTCTTGCTATTGCACAATACTTATATTATATAATAATTTACACATCCTGTTTGGTGTGTATCTCCTACCATATCATTATTATTTGCTTTTAAATATAAATCAGAAATAACCAACTTAAAATGGAAAATTTTAAAAGAAAAAAAAAAAGGAAAAAAAGAAAAACCCCCCCCCCCCCCCCAAATTTTTTGAACCCCCTTATGATTCATCACCCCCAAACTCAATCCCAGCCTTCCCTTTGTGGTATGGTACCTTGCAGTACAATTTCAGAGAGATCCATACACTTGAACACAAGTTATTGTCTGGAAACTAGAAAAATGATTATTTTTGGCCCCTTTTTGGCCCCCAATTCCTAAACGTTTAGGGCAATTACCCCCAAACTCAATTCCAGCTTTCCCTTTGTGATATGGAACCTTGTAGTACAATTTCAGAAAGATCCATACACTTACACACAAGTTATTGTCATGAAACTAGAAAAATGCTTGTTTTTGCCCCTTTTTTGGCCCCTAATTCCTAAAATTTTGAGGCAATGACCCCCATCATCAATCCCAGCATTCCTTTTGTGATATGGAACCTTGTGGTACAATGTCAGAGAGATCCATACACTAACACACAAGTTATGTCTGGAAGTTACAAAAATGCTTATTTTTGGCCCCTAATTAGTTTAATGTTGGTACCATAACCCCCAAAATCAATCCCAACCTTCCTTTTGTGGTATTGAACCATATGGTAAAATTTCATAGAGATCCATTCACTTAAACTAAAGTTAGAGTGCGAAAACCAATGTGTCTTCGGACGACGACGACGCCAACGTCATACCAATATACGACCACAAAAATTTTTTTGCGGTCGTATAAAAAAATTACCTGTTTTTTTTTGTCAAATCTTTTGTGTGTGTAATGTACAGTACAAGTCCAAAAATATATCCAAGTTTCAGAAAAATTGAACGTTTACATCTTACAAATTTAGCCAATACACATCCATACCCCTATGGACGAGTCAAGAGATGTTCCGAAAACTGTAAATATTACCTTTTTGCACCTGGCCTAATCACTCTTTCCATATCAAAATCAGTTAAAATAAAACATCCAAAAATTTATTTCAGCTCTCTTCTTTCATTTCCACCTTATAAAAACTAAGAAATGTATGAGAAAAGGAAAGAAAAAAAAATAAAGAAAAAATACACTTTAATTAAAGGGAACTATATTCGTGAACAACGAAAAGTGGGGTCATAAATTGTGGTCTTGGGCCTATTAGACCCTTTTTCTTCAATATAGCACCCCGAAAAATGGCACGCATTAAGCTTATTCTCTATTGAACTAGCATACCATATATCAAATCAATCCGACAAGTTTTATGGCAGTTCTGATAGTTTTAATAACACTACCCTCATGTTGATAATTCTAGGCATTTTCTGGCATGAAACTTTCAAAACATGTAACTACTATGAAAAGTAAAAGTTTAATAACTTTCTTGTTAAACATGATATCTTTAAAAAATAAAATGTCTATAGCAGCTGAATGGTTAAATTTCTAGAATCTGAAAGAAAATTTATCAAACATTATGTTTTTTCAATTGAAATTATTTTTTTTCTTAAATTCTTGTAAATTTAGTTAATATACCAACACTGAATATAAATAAAATTCCATTATAAACATTTAAAAAGAAAATTCACTTTCAAAACTTGTCTTAAAAAATTGCTCATCTTATCTGTAATAAGTAAAATATAACATAAACACTTATTAGACACATTTCACAGGTACTTGGCCTGTTTACCTGAGGTACCAATATTCATGTGTAACATCAGGTCAGATTACATGTAAAGAAAATTTCAAACTAGTGTAATTTCTTTATTCCTTGAAATATTACTCTGAAATAAACTTTGTAGTGAAGTTTTCTGTTTTGTTTATTTTTATAGATAAATAGATTTTAATTTTGTAACAGATTTCTGTAAGAAAAATAGTTATTAAAAAATATATTGCATTTTCATAAAAAAATTATTTAAAAAATTAATAAAAAAAATAAATATGCTTCTTTGTTGAATTAATCTCTTAATAAATGATAAAGTAACATATTTAAATAGATTTGGATAAAACAATCTTTATCTGGACCCCTAATAATAGATTAATTGGCTTAGATGGATACTGCTAAGAAAACTCTGTTTATTCAGAGTTGCCTCTGAAGGTGGTCTCTTGAAATCCACACCACAGACTGCATCAAAGGAAAAAATGTACATCAAAGCAGATATCATACAATGCTTGATTATAAATATAAGGATGTCCAAAGTATATGCTATCAGTCCAAGCTGCGATATTACGGATCCAGTTAAATTTTCAAAATGTTCACTAAAGGTTATACCCTATATAACAAAGGCAAGAAGATGTCAAAGAAAGACAACTCTCCAAGAAATCCTGGATGGTTACCTGTTGGCACAAGTGGTAGAAGCAGAAGCCGGACGTCAATACAGATCCCGGATTCAGCTAGTGCAAGTACTTCCTATGTGCGGCAAACTTTACAATCTCCTGACTGTGAAGAGACGACTGGTCACATCTGTAATCTTCGACTGCAAGCGAATGCTGACCTGAAAAAAGAAGAAAGCATAGCATTACATTCTGGTATGAGATGGATAGACAGTCAACTGACACTCAGCTTGTACAACACTACTTTTGATAAACACCAAGTGAACTCACCCTCCTGTCCTAAGTTTAATGTTGACTATCAGGAACAGAAAAAGTGGGGAACTTGCTGGCAGTATACCCTGAAATGCATAACCTGTGGTTTTATTGGAGACAGAATGAAGATGTATAAAGAAATAGCTAATGGCAAACCAGGACCCAACCCAGGACAACCAAATGTAGCCCTTGCATCCGCTTTGCAGGATTGCCCAATTGGAAATACCACGATGCAGCAACTACTTGCAGGAGTGGATACACCAACACCATGTCGAAGCAGTATGCAACGCACATCTAACAGAGTAGCAGCTGAAATGGTCAAACTCAATAAAACAGACATGGCACAGAAACTTGAACAAGTCAAAGAAGTCAACAGAAAGAGAGGTGTACCAGAAAATGAAATTAACATAACTGTGGATGCTCAATACAACAGCAACACAATTGTTAGTAAAAAGAAGCCCGGTCAGAATGCCACTCAAGTATTCGCACTTGGTATTGAAACAATGACAGACAGAAAGTTTATTGTAGCTGCAGTTGTGCAGAATAAGATGTGTTGGAAAGGGGCTTGGCTTAGAGGTAAAGGCTTTCCAATAGAATGTCCAGGCCATGAAGACTGTACAGCAAATTTATACAGAGCTGCTTCCCTGTCAGAGTATGAGCTGGGAAAAGAGATTGGAAACCAGCTAGGACTACAGAAATTTCTTGTACGGTATGTGACCACAGATAGAGATGGAGGTTCAGCTAGAGGTATTGAAGATGCCATTAAAGCTCTCGAACCAATGTGGAAGGTAGAAAGACTGGCAGATCCAGTACAATTTGGACAGTCTCAATTCAAGGCCTCTAATCGAGCTCAATACAGTGCGGGAATGTTCCATGGAAAAACAAGAGAGGAAAATAGACAACTGAAGACAGTGTTTAGCAAAGATCTCAAGTGCAGATGCATGCTCCATGATAATAAATAAACTGATGGAAAAGTACGACAAAAACATTGATGAAATAAGTAAAGACTTACCAAAAGTTCTAGATGCAACTCTTCGCTGCTATGATGGTGACTGCACCCTATGTCAGGAAAATTCCATTGTCTGCAAAGGTGATGCTGCACTTAACTGGTGGAGTCGTTCATCTTACTTGTCGACATACCAAATCACTGCCCTGCAAATGGATAAAACAGACAAATTTATGGAAAGGACGACTTGCTTCAGAAGTACATAGAAATAACAACATGCCGGGAACCTCGACCCAACTGAAATGTACGAATCTAGGAGCAGACCTTTCAGAACGAAGTAAACTTCACCTGAAGAAAATGGACACTGACTTTAAATACAACCAGGATTATATACTTAGACCAGCGGTTCAAGAAAGGAGATTAAAGCAGAATGCAGAAAAGCTAGCTGAGCACAAGGCATGGAGAGAAATGAATAAAAAGCATGACCATTACAGCAAAGGTCAATTAGATCCACAGCCTGCCTTACAGTTCCACAACAGCTACTGCAAACCAAAGCTTCCAAGACCTGCTGCAGACTGAGATACCAGTTGATCCACCAATAGATCAACAGCAAACAGAATCATAAAAGGTCCTTTTTAGGACCACCTAAATATTAAAAAAAGAATCTAAAGTTGTTGTACATCAGTTCTGAAATTTCTTTTCTTTTACTCTCTCATTCTGATATCAATTTTTTGCCAGCCCTAGAATAATAATAAAAATAAAATGCTCCGCAGGGCGCAGCTTGATACGACCGCAGAGGTCGAACCCTGAACAGTTGGGGCAAGTATGGACACAACATTCAAGCTTGATACAGCTCTGAATTTGGATTGTGATTAAATATTTGACACAGCATAGGTTTCTGACAGAATGAATGTGGTCTAAGAACTTAAAAATTTTAAATTGGACATTCACCTATTATGGTCCAATATCCAAAATCTAAATACATGGTTAGATTCAGCATATCAAAGAACCCCAAGAATTCAATTTTTGATGAAATCAAACAAAGTTTAATTTTGGACCCTTTTGACCTCAATGTGGACAAAGTTGATAATGGGGCCCAAAAATC